GCGGACTCAGGTGAAGATGCTCGGGCGCGCGGCGACCTGGGGCGCGCTGCTGCTGCGGCTGCTGCTGGGCTGCGCGGGGCTGCGCGGCGTCCTGGGGTCGTCGCTGCTGACAGGTACGAGGCGGACCGAGGGCACCGAGAGGGGCGGAGGGGGCCGAGAGGACGGAGGGGACAGAGAGGGGACGGAGGGGCCGAGCTGGGACCCGGGGGCCGGAGGCGGCGGTGCAGCGCGGGAGCTCTGCGGGCCGGGCCGGCGCCTGGCGCAGTGAGGACGCGGTCGGCTCTCCGGGCTGAGCGATTCCCTTATTTACTTATTTCCCGAAGCCTTATCTTCATCCGCTCCGCTCCTGTGCGACGGAGGAAAGGCGGCGTCCCCACAGCTAGCGTCCCTGCGGTCCCCAGGCGTCCCGCGCCGGCGACGCTTTCCAGGCGCGATCCCGGGACGGGCGGGGGCGCGGCGTGTAAAATCGCGGCTCCGAGGGTGAAGACCTGCGCTGCTGCAGAAGGACAAACTTCCCTGACGCCTGGTGCGGAAAAGAGAACGCTGAGTCCCTGTCCAGGGGAGGCGAGGCTCCCGCTCCGCTAGCGCTCCCGGAGCGGGGTCCGAGGCAGGGCCCCGTAAAAGGCCCCGCAGGGACACACACCTGAATTCCGCTCGCAGGGAGCATCTTCCCTGATGCGCAAGTCTGAATTTTTTTTTGCAAACCGGTGTGCTTGTAGCAGAGATGCCTTCCCAAAGGACCGGGTATTAGTAGACATCCAGCGAGATATTGTGAATGCGCCTGAACCAACTGCAAACAGAAAATCTACCCATATATGTATTAGTTTTTTCTTTAAAAGCTTTTAAAATAAAAATATTTAAAATAGATTTGGATTTGTTTTGGTAAATTTTATGATTTAAAATTCATTAAGCATTTCTGAAATTTGGATGGGTGTTTCAAGAGGAGTTTTTGTGAAACTTGAATATTTTGTAGTAAGGCCATCGAGCAAGGTTTAAATTCTTAAAAATTCCTTCGTTTCAGGTTCTGTTGCAAAATGTGAAAATGAAGGGGAGGAGCTGGAGATCCCGTTCATCACCGACAACCCGTGTATAATGTGTGTGTGCCGGGTGAGTGTGCGCAGTGACGCGAGTGCCCGGGGTCCTTCGTAAGGACAAGACATTACACGAGATCGCATAACCAGATCGCTAAAAATTGTTTTTCATCATTTATTTATGCATTGAATTTAGTTGAATTTCCGAGTTTGGTGGGTTTGGGCAGTTTCATGCGGTGGAGAATTCTTCTCTTGGACATCATCCTTGCATAAGAAAATTTAAGGTGGACTTCGATGCCACGGCTTCAGTGAAGATTGCAGCCTGCAGCTTCCGTTCCTACCAGTGGCTGTCACCACCACACTTTCGGTGTCGGTTCAGTTTTCTGAGCTGTGCAGGAAAAGGGCGAGAGAACATTCAGGTGCAAAGGTCAGGCTTAAGGCAGTGACAAGGAGAGAGAGATGACAGCCACAGAGGAAAAGCAAGGACAAGCTGTAGTCTTGGATTTCTGTCTCCAGTTCCCTTGTCTTACACCCCAGCTCTCCAGTGCAGTCTTCCTCTCTGATTCGGGAGCCTGAGTCAGAAAGGAGAGAAAGGAGAGAAGGTGTCCTTCCTAGAGAATGACACTCGGTTGTCAGAGGCTCAGTTAACTCAACCAGACAGATTGTTTTAAGCCATTTTAGCTTAATACTTAATAAATCTAATAAGGAACCACTTGGGGGAGATTAAGTTATAGGAATAAGAGTTTCTGGGGTGAAATATAGATTCAGAAAGCAGTGTTTTTGCTGAAGGGTGTTTTACATGCCAGTCACTTTTGGCAAACCGTGGTTAAAAAACTACACATTGCAAAACTCTGTTGGAAATACATCGGGGCAGTCAAACGCAAAGCTCCAAGTGACAGATGATTACCTGTTACCAGATCAACATGTCCTGCGGAAATAGGGAGGAAATCCATCTCTGTATGGGGAAAAGCCAGGCCATCTGGGTTTAAATGCCTGAATTTTCTCATGACAAGAGACGAAGTCAGTGTTGGGAAATGATACATGGGGAAGGCGCGTAAGATGAATGCCTGCATGCAATGAGTTTCCGGTTCTGAAGCGTAAGGAAATCAACAGAAACAGTAAAAATGCCCGATGTTTGCTGAAATGATAAATCTTGCTGCCCAGCAAGAATTGCTGAGAGAGGGGAGCTCTTTAGATTCTGTGTAATCTCGGCTAAATAACTTGTGTGTGGAAAAGAATTTGAGTTTCAACGTTGACTGAGTTGTAGGTTTGCATATTCAGTATGTGTCTCTGTGTGTGTCTATGTGTATAATTTCCCTTTGTCCTTTCTCTTGTCAGTGTAATGTAAGTGAATTATTTCATCTTATTCTCTCAAGATTTCAGTGGAAATTAATCTGACCAAGATGTGCTGAGAGCGCCACATGTGAAAATAGTGTTTCCCTCCATTTATAAAGTTTAAGTGTGCAGTTTGGGTTTTGCAACACATTTCCAAGTAACATTATGAAAGCTCCCTACACAGCACTGTCTGTCCCTTTTTGGTACTGCTAGCCAGGTGGAAAATAGTGCCCATCTTCAAGAGTAGAGACTTAGTAATAAGAAAATGGATATTAGAACCCTGCAATATAGAAGGCAAAGAGTGAGTGTGAGAAGATATATCTTTTGGAATTCAAGTGAGGATACTATTTATCCCAGAAGAACAGATTACATTCACCAGAGTAGTAGGTTCTTTATGTCTTTAACATTTTCTTTCCTGTACGGGAATTGAACCCAGGGCCTTTGCACTGAGCCAACCCTCCCTTTTAAATTTTCAAACATGTTTTTGACAAGCTGTTAAGTTCCCCAGGTTGGGCTTGACTATGAGAGATCCTCTTGCCTCAGCCTTCCAGAGTGCTGGGATCATAGGTATGTGTCACCACACCTGATTGTATATTTTTAGCAGTTAAGTAACATTTGGAAGCTTCTGGCTTGGGTAAGTGCTTGCTGTCAGAGGTCCTTTCTGAAGACCCTGGCAGCAGGACTCAGCTCAGTGATAGGTCACCTTGGTGGGATTTAAGGTGACAGCTGCACAGGGCCAGCTCTGCACAGTCCCCAAAGATCCCCAGACTCCTGTAGTGAGTTGGTAAAGTGGGGTGAGAATCCATGCACGGCCTTTCCTCTCTTCCTTGTAATTTCCATGGGACTCACCAGGGTCTGTGGATTTCAGCTCCCACCCAGTGGCTGGGAGGCTGCTCGGCACATTCAGCACTTAGGTGGGAGCCACATGTATTCAGTGATCTGAAAATATTAGCAAGCAAACATACGGAGCACTTTTTATTTGCCAGGCTCTCACCAACTGCATTCCTTCATTTCATCCTTATGAAAATCTTTGGAGCATTTTGGGTCTGCCTTAAAAGTGAGGAAACTGGGCCGGGGATATAGCATAGTGACACAGCACCTGCCTGGCAAGCGCAGGGTCCTGTGTTCGATTCCTGGTACCAAAAAAAGAAAAAATAAAATAAAAGTGAGGAAACTGAGATATAGGAGGTTAAATGGCCCTTGAAGGTCATATTTTTGTGAATTTATTTACTTGTAGACAGAATATCTAGTATTTTATTCACCAGCATAGCAGAGCTGGTCTCAGATGGTCTGTCTTTAAAAGAGCACGTGCCTATCTGCGGCCAGGAGAAACAGGCTGGTGTTAAACACGTGAGAAAGCAGGGGGGAACAGAAAGACCATCGAATCATTTTACCTTTTGGTGTTCCTTGAATTATTTTGTTTTCTTCTTTTGAGCCTTTTAGGATTTGTTAATCATATTCTGTGACTTTAGCTGACCTGATCTTGAGCTAGGTTTATGCATGTTTACTAGAGGGTACGTAATAGTCTCAACTGAACTTTGGACAAAGAAATAGTCTTTCTTAATTTTTGTTGGTCCAGCCTTCTGGAAGAAATGTACCTAAGGCTGGGCATAAACTCATATCTTATTTCATAACATGTACTAAAAATGCCCCCAAAACCTAACCTCAGCGTATGCTTAAAAAAGCTGTGAAATGTTTCAGTTGGGAGGAAATTGGTGGCAGAGTCCTGCGTATAATTACAGTGTCAAAGCTTGAAAAAGTCCACAAAATCAGCATGGCCTGATTTAAACTTTAAAGCTCTGAAATACTTCAAAGGTGGACTGGGCTCATTTCTGTGGAGTTTGTGGGAACGACGGTGTGTAGCGGCCACAGGAAGCAGGACTGAATACTTTTATTCGCACCTATCATCCTCTGCATAGACCGAGCATTGTACCAGACCCCAGTTGTGGTCCAAGAATAAGCTGATTGTTCCCTGGCACGGCGACTGCTTTTATGTGGGTGGGGCTTGAAGCCTTGGTCCATCTGCCGGTGGTGGTGGCCCAGGGTCTCAGAGCTGGGCATCGGCGTTGGCAGTAAGGACGTGCTTGCTTTGTTGTCTGGTGGGAAAGCAAAGCACCGCCTTTCTCACTGTACAAAGTGATCACTTTCGGAGCTGAGGGAGGGAGGCCCAGACCTGTTACTGCTCTGTTTGATCATTTCCCCTGCTTGTCAGAATTGTTTTTCTGATAATGCCCAGGAAAGCACATCACTGCCTGCTCTGGAGTCCAGCTGACAGGACCAGCCAGTCCCGGGTGAGTGAGTCTGCAGTGTGAGTCTGGACCCAGACACCCCACACTCACCCTGTGTGCGCAGAAGGCCCCTTTCCACTGCTGTGGCTCAGTGGCAGAAGCCAGCAAGTTCAACCAGGACTGGAAACTGAGGAAACCAGAAATCAGAGCTTGGCCTGGCATGTATTTTGTTCAGTGAAATGCGTTTTCTGAGGCTGAAATAGCCTCTTTGGAATCTGGAGGTGCAATGTAGCAGCGGACTTGGCTGGTGAAAAACCACGTGGCACTGGTGTTACAGGAAGCAGGGCGCCGCCTTCTCCAAACCAGTAAAATAACGAGCACAGAGCTCACCTGACTGCTGTCTCCCCTGCTTCACCACAAGTGTCCTCTGCCCAGCAAGTGGCCACCAGCATCTCAGCCTCTTTATCTCCAAGAATCCTCCTGGCTTCCACTGTTCGCATTACCTGGCTGCAGGACGGTCACCCGTGGTTTGAGTCAGCGCGTGTTTGAGGAGGAGGAGAAACCGCCTGGCATTGAGTCCTGTGTGTGCCCGAGGGGAGGGGAAGGGGACGTCCTGAGCCAGGCTGTGATCAGAGAGACGCCCCCTGCAGGCAGTGTGTGCACACCGGAGCGCCAGACTTTTCCTCTCTAGACCGTGGATGCTCACTCAGGAAGTGATCAGATTTATTTACTATTTAGTTGTTTTCACTTGTTTAGAAGGTGTGGTGGCCAATTGTCTTTCAACAGAACAGCTCTAGGGGAGTATCTGACTCAGGGATCATGTGGGCCAACTCACAGACACCATTTCTGAGTTGGTGGTTCTCATCCGTGCTCTGTCCAGGCCCAGAGAAGCGCAGCGAATCTCCTGAGGCCACACAGTGAGCACAACACTGAACTGGATGTAAAGCCAGTTTTTTGTCAAGTAAGCCCTGCTGCTTCTGCGAGTCATTTGCTGCTTGAAGTCCGTCTACCGATGCTTTCAGAGGCTTCCGAGAGTGGTTTCCACCTCCACAGAGCCAACCGCAGTCTCTTTGCGGGGAGGCAGAATGGTTTCGATCTGGTCTCGCGGCTGGCTGTGGGATCCTGCGAACCTTCCAAGGGAAGCTGAGGCACCTATCATTTTGGCCGGGAGGTTTGGCTCTGACACTGACGGGCCTGTCTTCAAGTCCACCTGCCAGGGAACCCAAGGCACGTGCCTCGGTCTCCTCCTCTGGAGAAGGAGTGGATGTCACTGTGTGCTCAGGGACATGGATGAGATGCGGCAGGTGAGCTTCGGCTGTGAGCTCTGCACAGCAAAGTTCTCTGGAAGGATGTTTTCCTGATGCTGTTGGTCACAGCATCAAGTTTTAAATCCTTATTTCCTCTGTGTATTAGGGTGCAAAGGTTCATTGGGCAAAGATACAAAAAGAAGCCGATGGATGGAGGCACAGGGGTGGTGATGCCAGGCTGTCCTCGTGGGCAGCTGGGCTGAGAG